TAATTGACACCCCAAATACTGGAGATTTTGAGGTCATGACCGCTGACCGGAAGCAAAATGCCCTTGGTACGAGGTTGCATGGCCATGCTTATAATAATTGACAAGGTTGGCCATACTCACAATAATAGAAATAATATATTCTGTTTTAGTGTACTACTTAAAATTAGTGTACTATTGAAGTAGCCGACGTGTATGCATGAATAATTAAGAAGCAGTGAGTCAATACAACGGTACTTATTATAGTAAATGAAAATTCGAATGTTCTCACATCTGTTGAGTGCTGATTGCGAATGTTTGAAGAAAACCAAGGAAGTAAAGTTAGATTTTGGTAAGTTTCTTTTTACCTCGTATCAAATGCATCAGTTTCTGCTCATATTTCTGTTGGGTTTAAATTACTGCCGTAAATGAAGTTGTTAATTTTGAAGGCCCTGCCTTTGTCTTTGAACTACGCGACTTTTCTACTTTCTGCAAATAATTTCCTTCTCTAACATATATATACTGCTGAATACGTCCCTTACAACTGTTCCAGCAATGCAAACATTTAGTTTAAATATTATGGCAAACTTTGTTTGACGCACATGAGGAATAAACTGTTAAACTACTCAGTCCTGTTTAACTTAAGGTGGCTCCCTACAGTTATTCTTGTTTAAGCAATAATTCCGTAAAACAGGCTTATTCGTGCAAAACGCGAATTCTTTTCGACTTGGTGGCAATATTGGTCACCTAAGGAATATTTCGAACTAGATTTCGACGATGTCAATGTTCCCATAGCAACATGACGACAGCATAAAGCCTTCCAATTTAACCCATAAATGTGCCGCTATCTCAAAAACGATGCCGGTGACCTATCTTTTTTATTTCATATATCAATAAGAAATGATGCTCTGCAACTGTGGTGAAAGTTTAAAAAAATTCTGTAGTGTGTGATTTTTTTAAAAGCGAAATATTTATTGCGAAATGTCCACACTACAGATTTTTTTAAAATTTGAAATTTATAAAATTTACCGCAAAATAAATTCGTGGTCAAAATTTGAAGATAGGTCACCGATGAAACTAATGAGTAAAATGCAAATAAAGTTAGAAAATAGCCTCGTGTAACTCGAGAAATTCCCCTATTGAAAAGCGTCGCTGCCTAGTAAAAGATTGTACGCGGGCGCAGAACGAGTTTTCATTCAGCAAAATCGAGCCGCAATGTTGTTTTTACTGTTTTGTTTTTGTCAACTTTTCGATTTATTTGAGTGCTATGGACAGCCAAGGATTATTGTGAAGGATTAAATCGATGAAAACAAGGTTGAAGCTAATTGAATCCTGCCGTTTACTCAATCTATGAGCTGTAACAGCCTATTAACAGGTGGACGTGTTTTTGTTTCATGTTTGGTTTTGTACTTTTTGCTAAAAATGAACAATTAGGCTATGAAACTGAAATATTTTTCTGTTTACATATAATCACTTTAATCTTGTAGAAACACGACTAAAAACGTGAACGTTTTCTTGAGAAATAAACAACTTTTTAAACGTTTGTATCCAATTTTGCAAATGTTTTACAGTTGACAATGTATATTTTAAAAACATTAAAACACATTATTCGTAGCTATTTTTTGGTCTAGTGGTATTCGTATCATATGTAGAATTGCTGTATAGACTCGCAAGTAATTTGGCACTCAAAACGAAGTATTATTCAACGCTTTTTCCCATTAGAAACCTTTCAGAAATAGCTTTTTTTTAAAAAGAAAATGTTGTTTTGTTTTGATCATGCGGTTGCGTGGGATAGTTCACGTACTGGTCCCGCGAAGATCCCGCACGCAACTGTAGGGAGCCTCCTTAACTACACTTTGAATTATAATTGAATCATTTATAACGCATAAGCAAAATGCATTATCTGAGGGCGTGTTTCTGAATTTTTCTCATACACGACTGTTCGACTTTTACGGCAATATACTTACTTTACCTAACATACATGAACTGATACTAACAAACGTTTAGTTTTAATGCATATGTGCTCATTAAAGCAGGAGCCAAATTAAATTGAACAGCAAATGAGTTTTGATGAATGTAGATAATATTATTTGATGTCTTTTCCGATTGATGCCTCTCTCCTCCCCAGAGGATTACATGAAGTTTCCAGTCGTGTAGATTATTTGTAAATATGATATTTGCTGTGTTGGTGTAATGTACTCAGGTGAATAAGATGCTGTGTGATGTTACTCTGAGTGTATATCCACACAGGGCAGGCTTGAAAAATATGCCTGGCCACGGTGGGATTCGAACCTACGACCTGGTATTCCAAATGTCGTACGTTCGAATCCCACCGTGGCCAGGCATATTTTTCAAGCCTGCCCGGTGTGGATATACACTCAGAGTAACATCACACAGCATATTTGTAAATACTTAATGTGGCTTCTCGGAGTTTGGTGTCATTTGCTTTTCTAATTTTTTTCAAAGCGAAGTTATAAAAGTGTGAAGAATCCAGGGAATTAGATTTCTAATATATAATTCTGTCTTCTTCAAATATTCTAAAGGGAACTTTTTCATTTCTGGTAATTGGAAGAAATCCAGTTTTAGCCAAAAAATTTAGTTATGCCATTGGACTATCGTCAATTCTTTTTTCAAATCACGACACAATGCCATTTGAAGACAGCGTAGAATTTCCAGAGATCCATGTCCGATACCAGTTCATCGGATGTGAGTTTAACGGCCATTGTGTTTGTGTGTGGCAGTTACGGATGCAGCGGATATCGTATCCGGCCAGATAGTAAGATCAACCTAGTATCCGGCATCCGATCGCCCGGATATCGGAAATTGTTTATCAGTCAGGTTCAGGCTTTCTTTTCGGATTAAAAATGATATATTCATCATTCATTTTCATATATTCATCATAAGTAGCACCATAATATGAGGGAAATCAATGATTAAATGTCCCCGAAAGCCGAGGGAGGTTTGTGGAGGGCGCAGCCCGAGGGAATTCCACAAACTTCCCGAGGGAAAGGGGTATTTAATCGGTAAATTCCCGACATATCATGGTATTAGTTTGCAATACCATGATTTCAGTTTACACTCTAAAACGGGACACGCATACCCTACTTGTAATCAACGAAGAAAGCAAAGCAAAGCAAAGCAAAGCAAAACAAAGCAAAGATGGCGCACGACATCTTCGTCATTGCCCAGATACGTATTTAGATAGCCGAAAGCTATCCTGAACTTTTTAATTTGGACGTATTCGCCTTTCGTGTGAAATTTAACAATATCATATCAAATCATTTTGGGATCTGAAGCGCTCGGAAATGTTGCGCTGCGCCCCTAGCTATACTTACAAAAATTGAAATGATATGTTCTGTAAAACACTTTAGTGTTTTGAAAACCTAAAATTAGTGTATACTATTCAAGTATCCGATGAGTATATAGCATGAATAATTAACAAGCAGTGAGTCAATACAACGGTACTTAGGCCCTTTTTATACGTCGAATTTCGGTCGCGTCGAATGCAATTCAAACATTAGATAATGAAGCTTAATGAGGTTTATCATCTCATTATCTATATTGTCTTAATTGCATTCGACGCGACCAAAACTCGACGTATAAAACAGCCGTATTATAGTTAAAGAAAATTATTTCGACAGTGTGTGTTCTCGCGTCTGCTTAAATTATCTGCCGTAGTTGAAGATGTTAATTATGAAGGCCCTGCTTTATTTTGAACTACTCGATTTTTCTTCTCGAACACTGATTAATATGATGCATAGGTACCTCATGCACAATTGTCCCAGCCATACAAGTGAATAGTTAAAACATTGCAAAGTATGTAACTATGTTTGACATCAGGATTGAACTGTTAAACAACTCAGAGCGTGCAAATTGAATACTTTAGCATATAAGGAAAATGTTTATCTGAGGGTCCTGAGGGCATACTTCTTCATTTCCCCATACACGATTGTTCCACTTTTACGGCAAATTTGCTTAGTATACTTTACTTAACATGAGCTGATACTAATAATCTTTCAGTTTTAATGTGCTTTCATTAAAGTAGGAGACAAATTGACGGCACGACAATAATTGAGAAACTGCATAATTTTTAGTTCTTAAATTAAATTCGTTTAAAGTTTGGCTTATTTAAACGGGAAGGGAAAATTTAACTCGAACAGGATTTGAACGATGGTATACCAAGCGAATTTCATGATGAGATATAAACGATCGCATCATGAAATTCGGAAGGCGCATACTCCAAGTCACCATTCCTATGATTTATCTTTAAAGTGCATATGACATTAATACCATTTTTTCACCAAAAATCAGCAAAAATTACCCAATTCGAATGATATATATCATTCCTTGATCGGATAAATACTTCCAGAGATAATTTAGATCAAACATGCAAAAATATAGGGTTTTTCAAGACATGGCCGGGAGAAAAGAGGCTGAGTACGAATCAAGTTTGTGATATCACACCGGGGACGGAAGTGAATCGACTCATGTTGTATTACAATAAATATCTATTGTGTGCAATGAATATTTGTATACTTTGCGCTTTGAAATGCCTGTTAGATCAAGGGAGCACAGCAGAACGATATTTGGCTATTTATATAAATATTTTTACGTATATTTGTCTAATATTCGTACCTGTTTTCATAGACGTTCACTTCATTTATTCTTTTACTGAAAATCCTTGATGTTTGTGGAAAAGTCCTTAATATATCTTTAGACACACGCGCGAATTCAAATGGTAAATAAACTGCCATTTTGAGAATATCATATTCCCTATATTAATTCCCTTCATATTACTATTATACGAAGTAGCGCGCTGGCCGGCGGCGTGAATAAATCACAATAGAGACCTTAAGATTGACGTTTACGGCAAACGTCAAACCGCTAGCGAGGTTTATGATTTTACAACTCTATTATAATAGCTTTTACACCAGTTTTGAAATATGTTAAACTTATTAAACTTGTGCTCTTTAGCAATGATTTAAGAAAGCAAATTAACCACTAGTCATGCCATTCACCAAAGCAGTAAACTAAGATTTGGCGTTTGAAGTTGACGTTTGGCGTATAAATTTCATGCTTGAACTGCTACGAGGGCTTGTAGTTGTTAAAGCATGAAATTTATACGCCAAACGTCAACTTCAAACGCCAAATCTTAATTTACTGCTTTGGTGAATGGCATGATTTGTGGTTAATTTGCTTTCTTAAATCATTGCTAAAGAGCACAAGTTTAATAAGTCTAACATATTTCAAAACTGGTGTAAAAGCTATAATAATAGAGTTGTAAAATCAAAAACTGCGCTAGCGGTTTGACGTTTGCCGTAAACGTCAATCTTAAGGTCTCTAATAAATTAATCACGCCGCCGGCCAGCGCGCTACTTCGTATATAATAGTAATATGAAGGGAATATGAGATTCTCAAAATTGCAGTTTATTTACCATTTGAATTCGCGCGTGTGTCTAAAGATATATTAAGGACTCTTCCACAAACATCAAGGATTTTCAGTAAAAGAACAAATGAAGTGAACGTCTATGAAAACAGGTACAAATATTAGACAAATATACGTAAAAATATTTATATAAATAGCCAAATATCGTTCTGCTGTGCTCCCTTGGTTAGAATAAGGGTTAGATATGTTGTATACGGTTGTTACAACACAACAGATGCTGCAAATCAAATAGCTCTACATCCAATACCATTTTATGGAGATTTTCGGCTGCAGTCATTAAGGAGAAGGAAACATTGGATAGATTTGGATAAATTGAAGCGAGCCAGATCGGAGCCGTCTCTTCAATTGTCAAAGGCATGTTTGCACAAAGACATGCATTTCATGTCGAGGCTAAAAGAATGCACATTTCCTCGACTGAATGAGATATGAAATTGGGATTAGCGTTTATCTGACGGTACAAACTGCGGTCGAAAGGCAGGAGGACATACAATAATGCCTCTGTAATAATGCTATTAAAACTGCGAGGGTGATTTTATATACACGCAAGGTGAGACAATATCTTATATTGCCTTTAATATACTTGGTTTTATATTTGTTGAGAATGATAGTATTGGAAATAAAAAATAAAAGAAACTTTATTAAATACAATTGTATTATACTACATTAAAATTAGATAAAAGTTCTTTAAAAGTTTGTTGTTAAAACAGGACCCAGTATTAAAATATTCAATGTTCATATTTGTGTGCATCTATAATCAATACTGCCAACTGCCCCAACTGCATTCGATATTTCAATGTTACCAATATCCTGGAGCCTCGTAAACATAGTACTGCAGTTATTAGCAGATTAAAAGAACTTTGGTTTCATTCTGCACCATATCTAGTCCACTGAGTTATTGCATTTACTATTGAATATTAAGTGCTTATGGATGCTATATAACCAAGTGTATATCATGCAATATAAAAGACATTGTCTAACCTTGCGTCTAATTCGCCTTTTAATCTAATTTTAATGTAGTATTATACAATTGTATTCAATAGAATCTTTGTAGTGGAGGTACACGCAAGCCTATAAAAGATCATTCAAAATATCTTCTCGACGTTTCGAGCAAAGGCCCTTCGTCAGGGAGCGACGCTGAACAACCACAAGACTTATGTATTTAATAAAGTTCCTTTTATTTTTAATATCCATTACTATCATTCTCAACAAATATAAAACCAAGTATATTAAAAGCAATATAAGACATTGTCTCACCTTGCGTGTATATAAAATCACCCTCGCAGTTTTAATAGCATTATTACATGTTCTCTTGCCTTTCGACCACAGTTTGTACCGTCGGATAAACGCTAACCCCAAATTCATCCCTCATTAGTCGAGGAAATGTGCGTTCTTTTAGCCCCAACATATTCAGAGTGTACAAAAAGTCATCCGCCTTGAAATGCATGTCTTTGCGCAAACATGCCTTTGACAATTGACGAAACGGCTCCGATCTGGCTCGCTTCAATTTATCCAAATCTATCCAATGTTTCCTTCTCCTTAATGACTGCAGCTGAAAATCCCCATAATATGGTATTGGATGTAGAGCTATTTGAATTTGCAGCATCTGTTGTGTTAGAACAATCGTATACAACATATCTAACAGGCATTTCGAAGCGCAAAGTATACAAATTTTCATTCACAATAGATATTTATTGTAATACAACACGAGTCGATTCACTTCCGTCCCCGGTGTGACATCACAAACTTGATTCGCACTCAGCCTATTTTCTCCCGGCCATGTCTTGAAAAACCCTATTTTTTTGCATGTTTAATCTAAATTATCTCTGAAAGTATTTATCCGATCAAGGAATGATATATATCATTCGAATTGTCTAATTTTTGCTGATTTTTGGTGAAAAAATGGTATTAATGTCATATGCACTTTAACCTTTCTTCTTACGATGGCACAGTGTTCAAATTAATACTCTATTCAGATTCACCATAATGACTGTCATGTCGCCCTAGTTTCGGAACAAATTTCCGACATGCATTTCTGAATCAAGGTCAACTACTATTATATGGAAACTTGTTACTTATGTTGTGCAATAGAGACGGCGGAGAGAATTAATATTCAAAAACGCCTTTCCGAATGAATTTTAGTAAATATTATAGCAATCGAGTAAGAAGCATTTTTTAAATTATCGTTCCGAATACGTTATACGATAGGACAACAGCACACGCGTACGCAATTCTCTCTAAATAGCCTATGCTTCGTATTGTTGGGAATAATTAACCCGCCGCGACCACAACTGATTTTCGTGCACTATTTTATCATAGCTAGACTATAACAATAAAGCGAAAACATTTTAAAATGCAACATTGTCCTTTATTTCGATAATATTTTCTTTTAGTATAACGAAATACTTTTATGTCACAAAAGAGTGTGCAAAATTTGAACCACCGCACGAAATAAAGAGATATTATATTTTTTAACAACGTTGGCAATATTGCGCACTGGCGTGTGATTGCGTGGACAACTCGGCACGTCATGCAGGTTGTATGAATAGTCACGCGGGTTTGTTCATGTGTTAGTGGTTTGATGAAGATTACTAGAATGTCGAACCTCCTTAAGCCGCGATGCATGTATAGTCACTAAGCGGTGCCTCTTGATCGACGCTTTAGCAATTAAGTTCTCGATTCATGTTGGAACTTACAGGAATACTGTTAAATTAAGCCCAAGATGATATTTTCTCAGGACTTAGCTTATAGATAATATTTTCGCAATGGCCTAATGGTTTAACAAGAGTAGATCCATCATATTCCTCTTCAAAGCATTAAATCCCAGTAGGCGGACCTTAACATGCTATTTTCTAGTAGGTTTGTGTAACATCAGTTCCGTACACGTGTAATATACGATATTTGAATAAAAAATATTTGACGTCCCTGCAATAATCTACTTCGATACATAAAAAGCATCAACGCTTTCGGTTACAGACGTGCGCGTTTTCTATGGCAAGTTTAGTCACATGACAAGTTTCATTTGCTCGTAGCAGTATATACATGGTGACCAGTACACACTTGTTCAAAAAGGCCAATTTTCGTACAAGTACATTTGGCAAGGTAATTTGAGCACTTGCATGCGATTGATCCATGTCTATTGTTGTAATATTTAGCAAATATAAAACATTTTCCGTGTTGATATACAGTTATATCGACACGAGTGGAATTGGGAAAACGAGAAATTGTATGGAAACACGACGCCCGAAGGGCGGAGTGTTTTCATACTTTTTCGAGTTTTCCCAACTTCCACGAGTGTTGATATAACTATACATCAATACGGAAAAAATGTTTTATATTTTTTTTATAATATAGCAATGTCAAAAGCCCGAAGGGTAAGAAAAATTTCCGTGTTTACAAGCGGCGGAAAATTTCCTGTGTTGACATTGAGTTATATCAACACGGCTCTTAACCAATCAGCGGTCAGAATTTACAAATGCTATATTATAACTAATAATAGCTATCATGGTGGTCAGAAAACTAAAACTTGTGAATAGAAAATTTGTTGCACCTACGCGTAGGCAATTGAAAAATAAAACTTGTCAGATAAAAACTTGTCATAGTTAATTGGAGAACAAGTTTTATGTAAATAGATTTATGTACTAAAACGTTGTATAGAGCGGATAACTGTGTATAAAGCAGCACAATTTACAGTAACAAATACTTTTAAAATGATCATCACAATCAAAAATATTAAACAAAACATTAAGAACCCAAACTAAGTTATCATTGGTCTAAAGGCTAACAATATGCGCAGTTGTCAGAGCAAGTGCCTTTCACCTCTGTGATCATGTGTTCGCAACCCCACGAGATTGGTGGGTTCGATTCCCATGGACTCATGTGAAAATAGTCTGTCAACGCTCTGCCGAAAGTCGTGGGTTTTCTGAGGGCACTCCGGTTTCCTACCACAGGGAAAGTTGACAGAGTGAGTTAGGATAAACACAGTTAGGAAAGTAATATCTCAATAGTTGTAAAGATAAATAGTCTACACGGCAAAAAACGCCGAGCCCGTTGCTCAACAGGACTGAACAATGTTTTGCTGCCCACGTTGTTCACACTTGTCAACAATATTGAACAACGTTGTTGAGCCTGAATCGGGTGTGACAATATTGTTCAATCGGGTTCAACAATATTGTTGACAGCTATGAACAATGTAGGCAGCAAAACATTGTTCAATTCTGTTTTCATCAGTATTGCATCAACCTGAGCGTTTTTTGCCGTGAAGGCTAAGTAAGTAACATGAACGTAATTATACTTGATGTAATCGGTCACTGAAAGCCACAATGGCGTGTGATCTGAATAATAATGTAATGTAATGTAACAAAGTCTGCGGTCAAGTCTGTTTTTTTGCTGTTTTTAAAGCAAAACCTGCATCCGAGTTTTCTTAAAACTATAAACGATTTTCCCATGTTTTTAAAATCTTACCAATTCTGATAAGCCGCGTAAAATTTAACAGCTGAAAGTCGAAATTTAGGGACTTTATATTTTGCGATATATTTTGTACATGATCTCGCTTTAATATCCGCCATTGTATTTTTAATTACCTATTATACCAAATTCTGCGCAAAGGTTCTCCCATGCAGTGGCAAGTGCCTTTTCGTATTATGCGTGTGGAAATCAGGAAATGTTTAAGGTAAAGCATCACGTTTGGCAATATTCATTAGTACGCCATTGATAACAGCTTGCATTGAAAACTAACAAAACAATTGTACAACACTACAACATACATTCTCTAATCATAACAGCGTATGGCTGAGATTTGGCCGTGCAAGTACGTGTATGTAGTTCAATTTATTATGTAGTTTCATCCAATGTTATTTAAAATAAACCTTTGCTTCTTCTAATTTTACAAAAAAGTACTATCAGTCGTTTCTATATTTTAGAGCGTTGATAACAGGACGAGCAACAATGTATTCAAAATATTATTTGTTGTATTTACTCATGCCATTCACTCTCCTGGAAATTGCGAAAGCCACATGTGTGAACAATGTGTATAATTTAAGGTTGAAAGGTAGGCGCCAAATTTATAAAAAGATAGTACCGCAAGACAGTTACGTTGTATTGTCAAAGGATAGCAAAATTGGAAAATGTAATCCTTACACTATAAATTGTAGGAAAACAGAGTTTATATATACTTTTTGAGATCGCGCTTAAAAAAGCCATGTTTTCTTCCATAAATATTCAAGTTTTAGAATTACTTCCAGATGCCAATTGATACTGTCATTATTTCAGGTTTCAAGCTTGATACAAAAGTTTTGATGATTAAAGTTGTTTCCGACAAGTTAGCTTGCGTAATGGAATGCTACAAAGAGGTATGCTGTAGATCAATTAACTACAAAAAGACATCAACCTTCCAGAATGAACCAAATTGTGAAATATTACACAACGTGGTCCACAATAGTTCTGAGAATGCATTGATGAAAACCTCTTCATTCGATTATGTCTATCTTGTTGACCCAGAAAAGGTAAGATGAGTGTGGCCGTATAGTAAATTTTTCAACGAAAGCCGGAATTAGTATTTCCTCTCCTCTGTCCCTAGAAACTACGCAAAAGAGCAAATGTGTGCCCATGTATGGTCAGAGAATTCAAGCGGTTTTGCCAGGGTTTTTTTTTCTGATTATTCAACTATCTAATTAGTGGCGTTAGTATAACGACTGATAAATTACTTAGCTTTAGGGAAACCAGGGTAAATCATTAATAAACTAATACAATATAATAGCTGATAGGACTGTAGCTATTTCACCTAAAATCACTACAAGCGATGTTGAAAATAGTTTAACGAGCTTTTTCACTGTAGGAATACAATGCCAGCTGTTTTGCAAACGATTCAGAGGACAACGTCAGAGGTACCAATATTACATTCAATAATTAGTGCACAAATTTGGTGATTTATTTTGTTATTGTTAAAGGGAAATGGCAATATATTTTTTTATTTTTTCATTTGGGAGAACTTTTAAGTACTATTTAAAAAACGAGCAGGAGTGTTATATTAGGTTTAAAGCCATGAGCGCGCAGCGCGAGTGGCTTTAGACCTAATAAAACACGACCCGCGAGTTTTTTAAATGACTTCAAAAACGTATGCATAATAAGTCAAATCTTTATATAAAAATCTTTATATAAAAATTTTTATATAAAAATCTTTATATAAAAATCTTTATATAGTTTGCATAACAATGGTCTTTTGTTAAAGTGTTCTTTTA